TTAGAAGTCTGAGTACATGCAAGTTTTGCAGGGAATGCTATTGATAAAAGGCAAGATTACTATGTTACTAACAAGGTTAATGAGAAATAGTTAATAAATTTCAAACCTTGATGAAAGGGAGGATTGGGGAAGTAAATAATGTTCGAATAAATATGGTTAATAAATAAATGTGGTTGAGCAGGAAATCCATCCAAATATTTCATAGTTGAATCACAAAACTAGCATGTAACTGTATTTGAGTGTTTCCATCTAAACCCACAGTGCATAGCTAAACCTAAGCTGTTCAGTTATCTAGCTCCAAAGAATCTTTCTCTACAATTGAGTGAATATGCCTAAGCATTGCTAGCATACAAGCATGTCTCAGCTGCTGTCTGTTTACTTGCTGTGAGCTGTGAGTCATGAATACCATGTGATATTTGAGTTGCTGCTGAAATTCTTTCTACACCCACAGCACAGCATATCTAACACTTCAATCATGGTCCATGACAAGCAAAGGATACAAGTATGGTCTCCCTGTTAGTCAAGAACATTAGAAAGACATGACTATTCTTCAAAGAATCAATCACATCTCAGAGAATTTATTTCCTCTAGCTGGGGTAAATACTTTGTGGAAAAGATCACAGCCTTGCATCTCAACAGAGCTGTCAGAATCCTGGAGAAACAGCAGCCTGCAGGGGACTTTCTGGATCCCACCCCTTGTCAGAAGAAGAGCGGACTAATTCCTCAAGGCTCCTGCTCAGTCTCATCTGAGACAAGCAAGTCGGCTTCTCCAGGGACTCCTTATCAGCTCAAAGAAGAGAAGGAACCTGCACTTCCCTGGTGAAAGGATCCATGAGGATGCCATCTTTGCTGCACCCTTAAGCTTGTCATTGTCCCAGAGGCAAAAAGCAGAACTGTGGCTGAGAGACCATAGCTCAGCCAGCAAGAGTTAGAGTCCCAGTAATATAAACTGAGGATAATGCCTCTAGCTACACAGGGAGAGTATCTGCAGTTTCCACCAGGTTTAGGAAGCTGTTAAGATGTGTGGCTTGTAGTGTTTTGGGGTACAAACTGGGAATCCACATTAATGTGGATCATCTGGTAGCATAAAAGAAATCAGACCCTAGAAAATATGCTTCACCACAGAAAAATACGCTTCTCGTATTTTGTATCCCATCCACATTCCCAGGCTTAATTGGCCTTGGCCTGGGGAATTACCCATGACACAAGTGACTCCAAATCACTGTTTTCTTAGCGTTACAACAATTGGTGAGTGTGGAAAACATTAAAACAGCACATTAAAATAGATTTCTCTTTCTAGGGGAAAACCTGAGATTTGTTTGCTTCTGAGTCATGAAAGAGACTGGGTTTTTTTCTACTTCTAGTACGACATTAATGCCTGTCTTGTGAGATGTCACTTTCACCAAAGACTATAAATGAGCAATTCGAACTTAGTGAAGCATCTTAGAGGAAATGTGTTTAATTGATGAGTGAACTAAGACCGTATAACAAGTTGTGATTTTTCTTTCTTAGCAAGAGTCAGGTGACATTGGGAGACATAGTGTAGGGTTTCTTGTTATTTGCATGAATGTCATGAACCAGGATTGAGATTTTATAGAGTGGAAACAAAAGAAAAAGTATTCTGGTGGGTGTAAATAAGGTAAAAGTCATTTAATACTTGTGGCAACAACCTACCTATTGTGTATGTGTGTGTCTGTGTGTGTGTGTGTGACACACAGAGAAAGAAAGAGGGAGAGAGAAGACAGAAGCAGAATCACAGATGTTATTTATTTTGAAAAACAATTGACGATATTGTAGTCCCTAAAGGTGGTTATGATAAACATAAAAATTACATTTCTTATTGAATATAAAATTAGCTAAAAAATATCTTAATGTCTATATCAATTCATTAACTGTGCAAGTATATTGGAAGGCCAACAGAAACCTTTATGTTTTTCCTTACTAATGATAATCATACTTTCTATTTATGACTATATACATTTATTATAGATAGCAATACCATATAACAATTGAATTTTACTTTTTCTCCACACTTTTTATTATTAAATTGTATAGAAGTTGATATATCATAGTAATATTTAGACTTTTCTCATTTGATCCCCCAGAGATAAAAACAACCCACATGTTTATTTTAACATGATAATCATCACCAAAATCTCAAACCTTAAAGAACATAGGTTCACAAGGGAAAATCCCAAATTGTCCCAAACATTGACTTTTTCCTGTTTCTTAGTAAAACACTTTTTAGTATTAAAATCATCTTTACATAGTGTCAGTGTTGGAGCATGTTTAAGATAAAGCTTAGCCCACACAGTGTCTTAACATACAAGCATCCTTTTTCTAGAGTGAACCCAGCTTGCACTCCAGATATCAACTACTTCAATGGAGCAAACTGCATGAAAGCTTCCAATGTTGAAATTGGCAATTTTTAAACCTTTATATCTTCGTGTCTCTTTTTAAAGGAGTCATGGGACATTGAGATGCTGTCTTCACACACAGAGGGAAAAGAAACATGCTCACTCTTGGAAGTTCTCAATGAACATGAAAGTAAGTGAGAACTCCAATCCAATGCCACGGGGAAGCCTTGAAAGCTGATAAATGTTTTGTCAAGATTAGCCCTTTCCCTCCTGGCAGGACAACTGAGGACAAATTCCTGCAGCTTTCTCCTTTGCCATATGCTCTTTCGTGGAGAATGAAATTGCTTTAAAGTCGCTTTGCACTCTGTGGTGTTGAGTACTCTGGCCGGAGCTTAGAAGAGAGGAAAGAGGACCTCAAGTGATACAGGAAGTGGTTGCGCATTGATGCACTAACCATCCAGTAAAGCTGGAGCTCACCTCTCCCTGAAAGACGATGTATTCTCTGAACTGGACGAGGTGCATATGTTCTAGGCTGTCTGTGTCTCCAGGTGACAGAACTGCACCTAGTCTAGTGTTGCCTTTTTACTACTTCTTTCTTCTTCCCATGTAGGAAAGAGAAAAGCAATGCCTGTTTAGGGAGTTTCAGGAGTGAACTTGGAACCTCTGCATACTCTGTGTGAGCCAGGCCTCCCAGGCTATGCCAGAGAGCTGAGGAAGTTTTGTGCACTGCTCCTGTCTGTGTACTGAAATTTTGTTCTTGATTGTGCATCTGTCCAGGACTGGGTGTGGGTTATATGTTTAATTACAGAATCAAAAATAATATGCCCATATTCTATACCAAGCTTTGTCAATTTAACAAAAAGGTAATTCTCTAAGTCACATCCTTCTAGTTCCTGTTCTGGATTCAATTGTGTTACACACTTGTTCAGGAGGTTTATTCACTGACAACCCCAGTCCACAAGGCCCTAGTAGCTTCCACGTCATTCATAAGTTAATGATTACCAATGAATGGCTGGGTTTCAAAGACATTTTTCTGCCATTACCCTCAAAGTTCTTTATTAATCAGCTGAAGGAAAAAAAGTGATTACAAGCAATGAAGAGAAATGTGATATCAATGAGGGAGGGATATTTATTCCAAGCTTTTCATGTTTGCATGTAGAAGGACTCCTTCTCCTTCTTAAAGATTGGAAACGACTGAGCCAGAGTTCAATCCCACATCTTTTGGCCTCTCAAAGCTCTTGCATCAACAATTCTACCATTCTGCCTTTTTTTTTTTTTTTTTTGTCAAAGTAATGCCAAAGTTAACTGCCTTGAAGGCAATCAGTAGATTCCTGCTAAACTGAACAGAACTAAGGATGGGATTAAAAATGAAATATATATATAATAAAGCCTTAATACTGCTCTTTTCACTCTATTTTCATGTTTATGGATGGCACAGTTGAGAAGTCAACTTAAAATAGGATAAATAGCAGAAACTAAGAATTAAGAAGAAAAAGACTGAAAATTCTTACTTGTCTAAAAAAAATCCTGAATATGAAGTTTATTTAGCAAAGCAGTGACTAAGGACATGTTGATAGCCAACAGATATTTGTCAAATTCAAGCACAAATGTTGAAAGGATGGATTTAATTAAATGAATCAATTTTAGGAAATGGAAATTTAGGTCTCATATAATGGAAAAGCATTTTTGCCATGGTAACTCTTATATTACAGAACAATCCCAAGGGAAATACTGTCTTTGGACATGTAAAAATAGATTTATTTATCCAAGAGAAAAGAAAGAATATGTGCATGCGAAGACTTTTGCGTGACTGTAGCTACTTATTTGTAATAATCTCAAAGTGAAAAATAATCTGATTACTCATCAACAGCTAAAAAAAATTAGCAAATGTTGGTATATCTATGCAGTTGAATTCCATCCAGCAATAGAGAGAATGAACCACTAATGCTTGCAACAACATGGATGATTTCTAAAATAATTATACTGAGCATAAAAAAGAGTATATGCTTTGAAATTCCATTTATAGGGTCACCTAAACTATGAGTCCTGCAGTAAAACACTGTTTAGTATTTAAAAGTGTTAGTAGTAGTTAGTGTTTAGTCCCAGTAGCATGGGAAAGGCAAGGAAATTGGAGAGAATAACAAAGGTACATAAGGTAATTTGGAGGGTTGATATAGGTGTTCATGAAGTGATTGTGATGATTTCAATTGTATTCTTTAAATAAATATAAGCATATCAAATATACCTGAATAATGTTGTTTGAAAAACAACTGAACAATGTAGTATAAATAATTGACCTTGAGCTTCCTAGAGGGGAGAGCTATAAGACATTTTCTGAACAATGAATAGAATGGCTATAGCTTGGGATTAAGGCATGTCTTTCATCCTAGCATCACATGTGGACACCAACTCAGGTCTTGGAGGCACGTTTTCTGATCTAGCTCCCTCTTAATGTGCCTGGGGAAGGAGTTTGGGCCTCTGCTCCCATGGGGGAGACCTGAATAGAGTTCTAGGCAGCTGGCTTTGGTCTGACCCATAGTCGGCTGGTGCAGGCATTTGAAGAGTGAGTGAGCAGATGAAAGAATTCTCTCTCTCTTTCTCTGCCAGGTTGTCTTATATACAGAAATCTTTTTTTTTTTTTCGTAAATCGAAGTTCTTTATTTTATGTACAAAGAGCCGGCATGATTTTCCAAAGCGCCGATGTCTTGCAGCATCCACTCAAGGAGCATGACTTAATCCAACTTGATGAAGCCGATATCCTTGGCGTACTGGCGGAAACACTGGCAGCACATGTTCAGGCCGTATTTCCGGATCAGGCCGTGCCAGTTCGAGCATACTCGGCAAGAGCGCGAGCCCTGGCCGAATTTGCGCGGGTGACTCCAGTAGAGCTGCTGGTGACCCATCTTGTCCTCACGAGGGCGAAGAGCAGAAAAAAAGCTACAGAAATCTTATATACAGAAAAATCTACATTTCACTCACTCTTCAATTACTTTTATTACCCCGCATCTCCCATGGTTAACAACTTTTCCTACATACATACATAAATGCACACATACATATTATTTATTTCTGGACAGACAGGTAGGCACAGGTGATTATCTTATTTGCTGTCTTTTTCCCCAAATGCCTGCAATGGCCAGGACTCAAAGACAGCAGCAGAAAAGCAGTCTGGGTCTCTCATATGGAATGCAGAGACACACTACTTGAACTACCACCTGCTGATTCAAGGGTACCCATGAACAGGAAGCTGAAATCCAGGGCAGAGGTGAAATTCACATCCAGGCATTCCTATGGGCTACAAGCATTCCAAGTACCACTTATCTGCTCAAACATCCGTGCAGTGTGCTGCTCTCCACTTTTTCCCTTTCTCCCTAGAAGTAAGCCAAATCCTAAAAATGGTATATAATATTAGCGTGGAAGATTTTATGCTTTGTTGCATGTGTTTCTACATTTAACAAATATATGCCAAGTAGTTGTGGTTTTGAAAGTTCTGCAAGCTGTGTCACAAGGAGCGTCACGTTGCAGCTAGCTTTGTCCGTTCAGTGTTTTTGACATTTCTCTGCGTAGATACATGTCAGTGCAATTCGTTTCTTCTGACTATATCCTATTATATAAATAAGTCAGCATAGCATTCCTGTTCCATTTAATAGTATATATGATGATTCTCCAAGTCCTTGTGGTTTTCCCTGTCTAGAAGTTTCTTTCTCTTTTTGGCTGGTTCTATCTCTTCCCTCGGGTCACAGCTCAGAGAAACTTCTCAGATGACCCTATCTATGGAAGTGTTCTTCATCCTCATTTCCACTCTAAATGGCTTACTATTTTGCTGTTTGTAACACCTTGTTTATTCTTTATGTAGCATTTACTTTGCATTATTCATGGTCTGTTTTTTTTCTCAATGGACGGTAAGCCCTCTCAGGTTATAGTCTTTGACTTGATCATGCACTTTGTACAGTCAAAGAAGCATATCGTATTAGATATTGTACTAGAATATATATCATGTTTAAGTGACTCAACTTGATGTTGAGAGAATAAAGAAGTTGGTGAATACAAGGTCATTTTTTTGTTTGTTTCTTAAAAAAAAAAAGTCAGAAAATGCCCAGCATAATAGACTAGTGGCTAAATCCTTGCCTTGCATACACTGGGATCCCATATGGGCTTGGTTCTTTTCTGGCTCCACTGCCCACCTCGCTCCCTGCTTGTGGCCAGGAAAGCAATAGAGGATGGCCCCAAACCTTAGGACTCTGCACCTGCCTGGGAGACCTGGAAGAAATTCCTGGTTCCTGGTTTCAGATCAGCTCAGCTCCAGCCATTGTGAAAAAGTGAAAAAGTGGATGGAAGATTTTTTTTTTCTCTGTGTCCCCTTCTCTGTAAATCTGACTTTCCAATAAAAATAAAATAAATCTTTAATTTTTTTTTAAAGCAGAGAGAATTTAAATTTTATGTTGAATTCCCCTGGCCATTCATGAGCCACATTGCTAAATCTTCTATAAATAAATAGCTTCCTAAGTGTCCTGGCTTCAGTGATTGGAAACTATCATTTTATTTCCCAATTCTTTTTTTCAAATTGTCAACTCCACAGAAACAAAAGTTCTGATCAATCAGTTAAAACTTTCCTTTTATTATTCTAGGAAATATTCAGTGAGAACATAAATCATTTATGATGATTTTACAAATGTGTCATTTGTATACTTTAAATGTGTGTAGTCAATTTTATACCAAATTGTCATAGGACATACATGATTATTTTTAGTATTTAGCATTTTTCAAGTTTCAACAGTTTATAAAGAATCATAAATTTACATATCCCTGTGGCTACTTTTCAAGTTTTGTAGAGATGACTTTTAAATAACATTGAGGAATTAGAAATTTTGGAACAAATTTAATTTTTTGAAGATTTATTTATTTTTATTGTAAAGTCAGATTTATAGAGAGAAGAAGAGACAGAGAAAGATCTTCCATCTGCCAGAGCTGAGCCAATCCAAACCCAGAAACCAGGGGCTTCTTTCGGTCTCCCAGCTGGTGCAGGGTCCCAAGACTTTGGACTGTCTTCAGATAATGCTGGACATAAATAGGCACTCATTTGGGATCCCGGCACGTGTAAGACGAGGATTTTAGCCACTAGGCTACCATGCTGGGTCCTAATTTAACATTTACACTCTTATGAAAAAACACATTTTTATGGACAATTTATTTTGAAAATATACTAACACTTAGCCGGCACTGTGGTATAGTGGGTAAAGCACCTGCCTCTGACACTGGCATCCATATGGTGGCAGTTCATGTCGCTGCTGCTCCACTTCCAGTTCAGCTCTGTGCTAAAGATCTGGGCAAAGCAGAAAATGATGGCTAAGGGCTTAGACTCTGATACCCATGAGGGATACCTAGATGAAGCTGCTGGCTGCCTGCTTCATCCTGGATCACCCACTGCTGATGCAGCCACGTGGGGAGTAGAGCAAACCAGTGGATGGAAGATATGCGTGTGTGTGTGTCTCTCTCTTTCTCTCTCTCTAACTCTGACTCTCAAATAAGTAAATCTTTTAAAATAATGCTAATGATACATACATGTATAATGATAAAATAAGTTTAAAACATTAACCAAAATGTGTAATTTTTAAACACATGTGATTTTCTTCAAATAAAATGGTTTATTTTATTTCTTATATATAAACCATCAAAACATTTTCATTATTTGAATACCCTGAAAAATGGAAAATGTCACATATTGATATAACAAAATAATCTAACAAAATACATAGTAACGGTAGTTACCATCTTTATGTGCTTAGCAAATGGAAGGCACAATGCTAAGCATTCCTGTGTATGTCTTATTGAAGCATCACAAAAACCTTCCAATGCACTTGTGATTTTTCATATTTTATATACAAGAAAAGATACTTAGGAAAGTTATTTAATCAAAATTAAGTGATAGAACTACATTGTAGTATGAAGAAAATAAAAACCACCTTTATCCTATAATCCAGAGATAATAATTTTTCCCTCTCATCTTTCTCTAGTGTTTAGAACTTGGCATTTCTTTCAAAAAGGAAATTGGAACTAATTTAAAGATTGATTTATTTATATATTTATTATTTATTTATCTATACTTATTTATGTGAAAAGTAGAGTTACAGAGAGAATGGATGAGATAGAGAGATATCATCTATTCATTGGTTTACTCCCCAAATGACCACAAGAGCTTGGAATGGGTGGGGAGAGGCCACCAACTAGAAGCTTATCAGGGTCTTCCATGTTGGTGGCAGGGACCCAAGTACTCGAACCATCTTCCATTACTTTCTCAGCTACCTTAGCAGGGAACTTGATCAAAAGTAGAGCACCTGGAACTTGACTCAGTGCTCACATGGAATGCTGATACCTGAAGCAGCGTGACTAGCTTTGCCACAACACTGGCCTTAGGCTTGGGATTATATTATATATGCATTATCTGTTCATCTTTCACTTAATCTTAGAAATAGTTTCCATGCCATTAAAAAATTTTCTAAATCATGATAATTGATAGCTGAATATTGCTTAGTATTGTTGCCCAATTCTTCAACCACCTCCTTCTCAAAACTGTTCATATTTTTATCATCCATAGTCTTGCACATATCCACTAAGTTACTAAGTGTGCTTGTTTAAACCATTCCATATTTTAAACATTTTAATTAAAAATATGAAATACTAAGAATTTCCTATAGTATTAACTGATAGAAAAATGATTATGCCAATGCTTTCAAAAGTGGCATATTCTTCCAAAATCTTGAAATTATTTAAAGAGATTTCTTTTTTAAGATTTACTTCATTTTTTTTTTTTGGAAGTCAGATTTATAGAAAGAAGGAGAGACAGAAAGAAACAAATCTTTCATCCATTGGTTCATTCCCCAAGTGACCACAATGGCCAGAGCTGTGTCAATCTGAAGCCAGGAGCTTCCTCCTAGTCTCCCATGTGGCTGTTGGGTCCCAAGCCTTTGGGCCATCATCTACTGCTTTCCCAGGCTACAAGAATAAAGCTGGATTGGCAGTGGAGCAGCTGGGACACAACCCAGTGCATGCAAGGCAAGGATTTAACCAGCTATCATGCTGGGCCCAAGTAATTTTTCAATATAGCTTGATGAAACATTGAATTGCCGTCATGAAATATTCTTCCTCAAAGCAGGCCTTGCTATGTGTTTTTATAAAGGTGAGGTTAGCAATGTAGAAGTATGTTTCTTGAAGGTGATTTTTAAATGACTGAAAATGTGTCAATAGCAGAGCAAGATAAGGCATTAATATCATGGACACTTTAAGAAAGAGCCCTGATTAAAAAAAAATATGCTGAAACTTTTACTGATGTATAAGATGATACTATTTAACTGAGATGCTTTATGTTGACATCACTCCATGTTAAAATAACTACCTATTCTTCTATGTAAAGAATTATACATGTTACCAATATAAGAAGTACTTATTTTAGTTTGTGGGGATTAATTCATTAGTAACAATTAGTATTCAGGACATATTATCATGAAGTCTAAAAAAAACCCTTTAAGTAGCCTCGTGAACATTTTCTCCAATATCAAAGAATCTGTATGCCCAATTAGAGGTCTTTCGATTTCTCTGAGTTATAGTTGTGTTTTGATTATTTGTGTGAGGAAAATGGAAGTTTTATACCTCGTTTTTAACCTACCTATGTTCAACACAAAAGTTTATGATGGTTAGAAAAATAATTTGTATTGATTTGCTTTGACTTTACAAAATAAGTTTTTTAGAGTGCTAGCTATACATACATATATGTATATATTAATCTATTAATTTTCACTAAAACAGAGTTTTGTTATTTGATACATAAAGTGTTTTTCACAGCTAAACTTCCTGGTACAAGAGAGCTTTAAAACACCACTTTAGATAAGGGAAAATAAATCTATTTAATGTTCTTTTCCTTTTGTATCTATTT